TTCATAATTTAGAACAAGAATTACTATGTAAAAAATTATAACTCGTGTTTTGTAAATTACCTAAATTTATTTCTGAATTCTCAAAGACAGCTTTATTAGTTTCTATATAAAGGTTAATTGGAACCAGAAAAGAGACATCTGGATATTTGTTTTGAAGGGAATTTCCCTTTACTTTTAGGTAGATTACAGTTATTTATAATTTTTGGTATTTGATATTTTGTATAAGATATAATAATTATTCTTTCTGTTTCTAGGGATTTAGTTATATTGAATACCCAAGAATTTCTACAGTCAGTATTGCTTCATTTTTCCCTGTTTTAAAAATAAAAATTATATATATTTAAGGTATAGAATATGTTTTGGTTGGTAATTCTTCTTTAGTAATCAAATTTGATGGATAATCTTATTTAATAGTGATTAGTTATATAATATACAAGCATTTCATTACTTTATCTGCTTAAAATTAGTATTCCAAGATCATGTCGAATGGCCATTCATTTAATTTCTTTGTTTTTAAGGTCATATGGTAAATTATTAATCTATTGATTGCCAGTTTCATAGTTAATAAATATTCTGAATGACACTTTTTATTTCCTGAGAATGGTTTCTCGACAACAAAGGTTATTTAGCCTTTTAAATTTTTCTCAATTTCTAAGGGCATAATATTATTTTACAAATTGTAATTATTAGTATTCTCAAAATATATCACCTGTTGGCTTTTACCTTCAATTGATTAGATTGAAGCTAGAAATGATGAAGATGCTATGAAGTGGGATCAAGTTTTCCCATATACTTTTTTTCAAGGTGTCATTTATCTGGCTTCAAATAGAAGATTATTTTTCTGATCTCCATTTCCACGGGTAGGTGAAATTCTCCCGTGTTTCAGATTTAAGAAGAACAAACTTCTAGTCTCTTTTTCTTTCTTCCTTATTAAATTATCTTAAAGCATTTTGACTTGGAAGGGACATTAGAGAATAATTGAGGTCAAGCTTTCATTTCGCAGATGAGGAAAGTAAGAGAAGTGACTTCTCTAAGATCTACAGCTAGTGCCAGAACCTGTTCCCAACCTTGGACTCTGGCATCAGTCCCTGACCCTCCTCACATTTTTTTATTTCTGCCTCTTTGTGCTTCTCATAGTTTGTCACTAATGAATCCCCACCACTCTGTTCTGAGCCAGTCTGATCTGCATTACTGTTGATGCTTCCTGAGCTGCCTTGTTCACACCTCTTGAAGATCTACAAAAGCATAGGCATGGAACCACAATGATTAGCTGTGTATCTCCAAATCTGTGCTACCTACCCCAAATAATAATTGCTTTATACATGTAAACTAGTGGAGAAATTTCTATGGAAAGCTTGTGAAACAGTGTGGTAGGTAGAATAATGGTTCTCAAAGACACCTATGCCCATCTGGAACTTCTGAAAAAGTTGGATTGTTTGACAAAGGAGAATTAAGTTTGCTAACCAACTGACATTAGAATCTGTTCTGTATAGGACTAAGCTGATGGTCCCAAGGTACTTAGAGGTCTCTAAAAGTGGAAGGTGGATTTAGGAGAGAGTCCTGGAGAGACTGCATGTGAGAGTGATCAGGCTTCCTCGTGCTAGCTTTAAAGATGGAGTAAGAGGCCAATGGATCAAGGAAGGCAGGCAGCCTCTGAGACTGGAAAGGGCAAAGAAGCAGGTTCTTCCATAGCACCTCTAGAAAAGAATGTACCATGCTGACAACTGCATCTTAACCCACTTAGGTCTGTGTTGAACTTCTGATTTACAGGCCCTAAGATAATTGGTGTTGTTTTAAGCCATTACATTTGGGAACTTGGTTATAGCATCCATAGAAAAGTAGTAACAAGAATTTATACTGCTCTTCAGAAAAAGTTGCCCACATTAGGTCTCCAACGTCCCTCATCAGCTGATTAACTCATTGCCTACATTGTTTCCCCTTACCTGTCCTAACTCAGTATTTCTCAGCTAGATTGGTGCCTAGAACAACCCCTGTGAGACTCGTCACTGTCAGTTGGCTATGCCTGTCCTTAGGTTGAGGTCATAGCTCTTCAGTGTGAGCTTATTGGCTTTATAAAATGCAGAGTGTTTAAGAGACTACATAAACTTTTTTGAAACTGTGCTGTTATCTGCTGTCACTTTTCAGGAATTCAAGGTCAGATGTTGATCTAATACTCCTAAGTGCTTTGCCCTAACACCCTCAAGAAATTATGTCTATCTGGTGATATTTATCAGGGAAACCACTTGTATGACTTCAAATGCAGTGGCTCTTGGCTTTACTATTTATGAAGGAGACTAAGTGAAACACATACCTTCTTTCTTGACGAAGAGGCAAAAGCTGAGCTGGTTTTCTGTTTTATTAGACTGACTTGCTTAGCAGGCTAAGGTGTACATTTGACAGCCACACTTGCCAAGACATGGCCAAATCCATCTGTTAGCCTCTGCTAATGATGTAGTCCCTGACTTTGATGCAGCACCTAGTTTTTTCTCAATGCTCAGTGTCTGTTGTAGAGTTAATTGATGCTGAAGTTTCAATTTTGCAGAAGTCTCAGTAGATCACTGGGCTATGAATTAGCTACAACAGACTCCCAGCTATTCTAGATTAATGTAATTCTTCATGTGACTCAGAGACTTGAATTCACTTAGTTTATATCTCCTCAGAACATTACACATTAGGGTTACTTAGGAAGGTGGAATCCATGATTCTGACTTTCTACATTTGTTTACACCCTGATTGGAAATATCTTATTGATGAAAAATGTTTTGATTCACTAAAGTGAAGAGCCCCTTCTTCCTGCACTGTACACTACTTTCTCTGGTGCAGGTAAGAGAATATTCCATATTTTTGTAGATCCAAGGGATATTGGTCAGTCTAATAGAGCAACCAACATTACCTTTAAGTAATTTATTATTGCACACAAGAATTTTACAATAGACTGCAATTTTAATCCCTGTGGTCCTTCTACTGATTTTGTCACATATTTTACTTCTGCATGTTAACAAATCCCATAATACATTATCAAGTTGGCTTTAAACATCAATTAACTTTTAAAAAACGTTAAAATGAGCAGAAAGTTTTAACAGCCACATATTTATCTTTGTAGACCTATTTATCCCTTTTTGTAGTTCCATATTTCCACTTAGTATAATCTTCCTTCTGCTTGAAGACTTTTTATCCTAGTGTAAATCTGCATTCAGTGAATTCTCTCAGCTTTTGTCTTCACATGATTTATTTTGCCTTTATTTTTGAAAGATGTTTGTGCCAGGCATGGAATTCTAGATTGGCAGTTTCTTGATTCTAGCCCAACATTTTGCCCACTGGGAGGTATTTTTTGACACAGACTGATTTCCCTCCCGTGAGTCCCCTTATCTCTAACCACCAAATCCCAGCAAGATTCTCCCCACACATACATACCCGGCTTGCAGTCAGTCCCTGCCTTTTCTCCAGAAGCCTTTATACGCTTGCATTGACAACTGGAGGGAGCCTCCCTTGCCAGGATGACCTGTGTGAAACTGAAGGAGAAGAAGGCATAGTGCCTCCCACTCAGATGAGTCTTTGCACACTCAGTGCCAATCTATATTATTCTTGAGTTTCTGTGCCCAGATGGAAACACTCATTTCCATCTGCTGCAAGGAGATCAGTTAGGATGCTACAGTCCAAGCAAAAATGATGGCAGTGTGAATTATAACCATTTTGGTTGGGTTGGCTTAGCTAGATAATGATAAACAATTGTGAGGAATTTAATATGTGGGTTAAGAGAGAAATAACATGGAGACTGGGAAAATGTCATTCCCAGCATCCATTTTATTCTTCCTTTATATAATAAAACCCTAATTTTAGATGGGCATATTGTTGCTTAGGAATGTGTATGGAAAAGATTGCATTTTCAAGTTCTTTGTTTGTAGCTGGAGTTGGTTATATCACTATCACTTGGACTAGTGAAGTGAAAGTAGAATCATTGAGTGCAGGTTTTAGAGAGTGCTGTTAGAAGAACGGAGTCCTATTTCACCCGCTTTCTACTGGCTGTTATGTACATATGACAGTGTGAGCTTAAGCAGCCATTTGGACTTGGAGCAGAAGGCACCTGTTGAGAACGACATCAGTCATCAAGATGCAAAGAGCTCCTGACACTGGATGGACTGTAACTGGGCTGAGAACACAATCAGTTTCTGTCTTATGTAGGCCATTGGTTTTGCCCCTCTGTTTTTGTTGTATGTAGCTATATACAGCCAAATGTAATCTTTACAATGAAAATAGCTTGATAAGAGAGTTTTTTATATTGGAAAACTGAGCAAGTGTTGATATGCTTGGTAAATTTAGGGCACATAGAAGAAACAAACAGAAGCTTATAAGGGAAAACAACATATTTGTAAAACAACTATATACTAAAATGGATAAGTCACTTGTGTTTACAGTTTTTTTGTTTAAAGATTTATTTATTTTTCCTTGAAAGTCAGAGTTACACAGGGAGAGGAGAGGGAGAGAGGGAGAGAGAGGTGTTCCATCCGATGGTTCACTCCCCAGTTGGCCGCAATGGCTGGAGCTGTGCCGATCCAAAGCCAGGAGCCAGGAGCCAGGAGCTTCTTCCTGGTCTCCCATGTGTGTGCAGGGGCCCAAGGAGTTGGGCCATCTTCTACTGCTTTCCCAGGCCACAGCAGAGAGCTGGACAGGAAGTGGAACAGCCAGGTCTCGAACCGGCGCCCGTATGGGATGCTGGCACTTCAAGCCAGGGTGTAAACCCGCTGAGCCACAGTGCCAGCCCCAGTGTTTACAGTTTTTTAAAAGTTATAACAGTATTCAAGCTGTCTTTGAATCATCTTCTCCTTAGACATTAACATTGGTCTCATACATTAACTACTTTAGGAAGTTTTATGATTTAGTCTTCCTTTACAGTGGAGTTCTGAAATATCAAGGCTCTCCCTGCCTAATGTTCCTGCTGTTAATGGATGTACAAGTTTCAACCACATTCTTTGTTTTGTTTTTTATTTTTTGAAATGCAGAGTGACAGAAGAAGAGAGGAAGAGGGGATGAAGAAAGAGAGATCCATCCATCCTCTGATTCACTCCCCAAGTGGCTGCCATAGCCAGGTATGGGCCAGGCTAAAACCAGGAACCTGGGACTCCCACATGGGTGGTAGGGGCACAGGTACTTAGGCCATCATCTGCTCCCTTCCCAGGCGCATTATCAGGGATCTGGTTCAGAAGTGGAGCAGCTGGAGCTCAAAACAGCACTCAGATATGGGGTGCGGGCATGGCATTGCAAATTAACTTGCTGTGTCACATTGCTGCCCCTACAGGCATATTCTTGAATTAGAAAGAGATTTTCAGTTTTTGAAGTCCTCAAAAGATAAATTGAAATAAAATATGGAGGAATATGTGAGATTTTGGAATTATATATGAAATTCTATTTTCTCTTTAGGTCTTTAGCCTCAATCATTAACTTAAAAACTTTTGTATGCTTTGAACTTTCATGACAAAATTGATATTGAACACATCTAGGAAAAATTAAACTTACTTTTTTTGTTTACAATAAAATTTTGAAATGCAAGTGATTTTGGACTATAGATTTCACTGTGGTTTTCCGTTCTTCAAGCTATTCAGAGACCTTTTAGGATACAGGGTTTTGTTTTTTTTTTTTTTTTTTTTTTTTTTTTTTTTTTAATTTATTCCTTCCCTCTGATCTTTCCGCAGGACAAATCCAATGATGCATTTGTAGTGGTAGTTTTAAGCTTGAAGCCATCAAAAAAGTATTTTAATATGTCTTAAGCAAATTGATTTTCCCCTCTTTTCTTGTCAGATAGTGATTCAAGCTGAGTGTCTTTTTAAAAAGTCTTTTTTTAAAAAAAAATGTCTGCTCTAGTTGCTGGCAAACAAATTGGAATTTGAATGACCCATGAAATCTTTCATGGCGATGACTGGGTGGGAATATGAAACTAGGGTAGATTCTCAGCTAGAGCTGATGTAATGCATCCTGGGGAACTGGTGGTCAGAATTCAGGTGTCTTTGAGGCAGTAAGTTAATAGCTGAGGACCCTGCCAGAAACAAGCACATAGAAAAGAAGAAAAGAAATCAAAACAGTAACACCATTGACACCAGAATACAGAAGGGAATAGGATTTGGGGCCTCTGTGAAAGCCCTGGAGACCAAAGCCTCTAAAAGCTGGGACAGCTTCATTTTTGCTTTGATGTTTAGTCATTAAAAAAATATAGTAAGGCACAGGCTAGTACCAATGTAGAAACCTCTTATTTCAATGTAATTTGTGTACTTATATTTTAGTTTAGTGCAATGTCATACACAGAGCCTTTTTCTCTGTACATTGCATTGATAACTGAGGCAAGTGTACTTGGAACTGATTTGACAGTTTTGTGGCTATACAGATAAATATAGTACTTTTCAGGTTATTTCATGAATAATCAATGAACCAGCAAAGGATAAAAAGTGACATATGGCAGCCTGGTGTAGATTAAGTGTGATTGTCACATTTTCCTCCCTGCCTCTTTCCCTTCTCTAGTACGTTATTGTTTTAACAGGCTAGCTCAAGTTGTTTATATTAACTTTTATTCGAAGTAAAAATTTACCTTGAATTCTTTAGCTTAATATTTTATTGAGTATTTTTCAGATAGCATATTGATAATTTACATTATTGTTCAAAGGCTTAATGCTCCACTAAATGAAGAGTTCAGTAAATAAAAAGTAAAAATAGTTCAGCAGGAATATAGGCAAGGCCTATAAACAATAATAAAATGAAAAGATGTTCAAGTTCTCTCATGTACAGTAAATTTTAAAATAGCCACAGATCATTAAAGCTAGTATCTAATTCTAACAATTTGTTTGAAGTATCATAATGCTCTTAAAACTGTATATATGAAATACATGAAATTTGTTCCCTTTATATAAATTCACGAAATGAGAAAAGCAATTTAATAAAGATTTAAAACCAAGTTTGACAGAACACTCTATTTGCAGCAAAACTGAAATATACACATACTTCTTTTTTGTTTTTGTTTTTTTGATTTTTTAAAAAAAAATTTAGCTTTCACATGAGATTTTTGTCTTTCTTTGTCTGGCTTGTTTCAGTGAACACGATGTCTTCCAGTCACAGCCATTTTTGATGCAAATGATAGAATTCCATTGTTTTTTTATAGCTGAATAATATTCCATTGTGTGTATACACACATACACACATATTTTCTTTATCCATTCATCTTATGATGGGACACACTGGTTGATTCCATATTTTGGCTTCAGTTCCCGAAATGAAGTTAAACTGGTAAAGCAGTTTTTGTTTTTCAAAATTACCATTAACCCAATATTTCCAAATAACTAATACTCAACCAGTTATGTTCTCTGTGTATAAACCACAAATACACTGTAGCTGTTTCATGGACTCACCAAAATAGAAAGTGTTTTCCCTTTTGTAACATGGAAGCATTTCTTAAAGAAATGTTTTATTGATTTTTATTGCTTTTATCAAATTTAATGGAATTTCTTGGTAACTGAATTCTTTTAGGATGAAGTTCTGAGAAACTGTTAGTATGAGGGAGAGATATTCACAACCTAAATAGTAATTCTAGTACCTTTTTAAAGATTTTATTTTAAAGACAGTGACAGAGGAAGATCTTCCATCTTCTGGTTCAGTCTTCAAATCACTGTAGTAGCCAGGACGAGGCCAGCCTGAAGCCAGCAGTCAGGAACTCCTGTCTAGTCCGCCACATGGATGGCAGGGGTCCAAGTACTTGAGGCATCTTCTGCTACTTTCCTAGCACATGAGCAGGGAGCTGGATTAGAAGCAGTGCAGGTGGGACTTAAACTGGTGCTCTAGGGGCTTAATCTGCTGCACCACAACACTGGCCCCTTATTCTACCATTTTCAAACATTAGTCTCCCTTGGGAGCTAATGAAGATTAGTGCAGTATTTAGTTTGTAGTAAACTGTTTCTTCAGTGAGATAGTTTATATTCTGTGCTTGGCTGGCTTTGTCCCAGGCCTCTGGTTCTGAGTGAATTAACATTTGAGAGGCTCTTCATACCCCCATTCATTTGTCAGTTTCACTGTAGTCTTTCCAAACCATTTGAAATTGGCAGAAGAATTAGCAGTAAATTTTGATTTAGTGTATGTGATACAGAGAATGAATATTTGTTTTGAATCGCACCCCCACCCCTGCCTCCCTTGCCACAAGAAAAGATTCTGGGAATTTGCTCTTAAAATTGCAGTTTGCCCTCTGAGTTTTCAAGTTATTTATAAATCATGTGAATCATGTGTTGGGGACATTTTATTGAGACCCGAGAAATTAAGGTCTGATTTGGGTTAGGTCTGTATTGGGCATCAGATGATGGTGAGGTGACTGAAAGCTAATTCTGTGAGAATAGGATGTCATAAGGCATCTTTCCTCATCTTCCAGAAAAAATTTACAACTTTTTATGATGGAGCTTGCCTCTGCTGGGAGCAACTGTGATGAAGAGGTTATATTTTCTTTGTGGGATCAGGAATCCTCTCACTGTCTTCACTGATGGCTTTTAGAAGGAGATGAATGTGAAGGGAGTATAGCCTGAAGAATTTTCTTTAGAACTCATTCTCTCCCTGAGGTCCCTTTGCCCATTGTAGATTCTAAATGGTGTTGCAGACTACCTCAAAGCTTTCAGATCAGGTTAAGAGCATGGTTTTTACACATGACTTTTTTTTTTTTATGCAACATTCATACTGGAAACAATAAATATTTATTGGCTAAAAAAGGAGAGGACAGGAAAATGGCTTATAGCAATTCTTAGAATATCTAATTAGCTCAAACACACTGCCGCTTACACAGGATGTGCTGATGGAATCATTAACAGTATTTCGTAATGCTATAGGCACTCTGCGACCACAATTGTGTACGCTACTATACAGTCAAAACGACTAGTCCACATCTTAGTTTTACTCCCCCACAGTAAGCACAAATCTATTCTGACCTATTTATCTGTACATCGAAGGGTTTTTCTTTTTTTTTAACTTTTATTTAATAAATATAAATTTCCAAAGTACAGTTTATGAATTACAATGGCTTTTCCCCTCCATAAGTTCTTTTTTTTTATTTAATAAATGTGAATTTACAAAGTGCAACTTTTGTATTGTTGTGGCTCCCCCCCCAACCTCCCTCCCTCCCTCCCATGGCCCTCCCCTCTCCCACTCCCTCTCCCATCCCGCCCTTCATCGAGTTTCATTTTCAATCACCTTCATATACAGAAGATGAACTTAGTATACACTAAGCAAGGATTTCAACAGGCTGCACTCATACAACCGCACAAGGTATAGGGCATTGTTCAACTAGTAGTGTTGTTTTTAAGTTTCATAGTAAAACACATTAAGGACAGAGATCCTACGTGGGGAGCCTGTACTCAGTGACTCCCGTTGTTGATTTAACAATTGGCACCCTTATTTATGACATGCGCAATCACCCGAGACTCTTGCTATGAGCTTTCTAGGCTATGGAAGCCCCTTGAGTTCACCAACTCTGAACTTGTTTAGTCAAGGCCATATCACAGTGGAGGTTCCTTCCTCCCTTTAGAGAAAGGCGCCTCCCTCCTTGATGGCCTGTTCCTTCTGCTGGGGTCTTGTTCACCAGGATCTTTCATTTAGATTGTTTTTTTTGCCACCGTGTCATGGCCTCCCATGCCTGTGAGACTCTCATGGACCTTTTCGCCAGATCCGAATGTCCCAAGGGTTGATTCTGAGGCAGGAGTGCTGTTTTGGGCATTTGCCATTCTATGAGTCTGCTGGGTTTTACACATGACTTTTGAGCAGTCATGGAGGGTGAGTCTCCACCATTTCCTAAAGTAGCTGTACTGCCAACCACCTTGTAGTCTGTTTGATACTCCTCCATTAAGAGGAAAGAGTCAGTTCTTGAGTTTGCACAGGTTCATGACTAGCTTATGACCAATACAATGTGAAGAAAGTACTGCATGACATGACTGAGAAAAGACGATGCAGCCTCTCCCTTTATTTTCCAGGATTCTTGCTTTGAATTCCTGTAGTGCCATGTAAGAAGTTGTGCAATACTGAATATGTACCCAGAAGTAGAATTGTTGGATTGTATGGGTGTCCTCCTTTTAAA